AAGAAAACTACAGACTGATATCCCTGATGAACGTAAATGCTAAAATTCCTAACAAAATACTAGCTAACCGAATCCAACAACATATCAAAAAGACAATCCACCATGATCAGGTGGGTTTCATACCAGGAATGCAGGGATGGTTTAACATATGCAAGTCAATAAATGTGATACACCACATAAACAGAATTAAAAACAAAGATCACATTATCATCTCAATAGATACAGAAAAAGCATTTGACAAAATCCAGCATTTCTTTATGATTAAAACTCTCAGCAAAATCGGCATACAAGAGACATACCTCAATGTAATAAAAGCCATCTATGACAAACTCACAGCTAACATAATACTGAATGCGAAAAAGTTGAAAGCATTCCCTCTGAGAAATGAAACAAGACAAGGATGCCCGCTGTCACCACTCCTCTTCAACACAGTACTGGAAGTCCTAGCCAGAGCAGTCAGACAAGAGAAAGAAATAAAGGGTATCCAAATTGGTAAAGAGGAAGTCAAACTGTCACTGTTTGCTGGTGATATGATTATTTACCTCAAAAACCCTAAAGACTCCTCTAGAAAGCTCCTAGAACTGATAAAAGAATTCGGCAAAGTTTCAAGATACAAAATGAATGTACACAAATCAGTAGCTCTTCTAAACACCAACAGCAACCAAGCAGATAATCAAATCAAGAATGCAACCCCTTTTAAAATACAAAAAAATGAAGTACTTAGGAATATACCTAGCCAAGGAGGTGAAAGACCTCTACAAGGAAAGCTACAAAACACTGCTGAAAGACATCATAAATGACACAAACAAATGGAAACACATCCCATGCTCATGGATGGGTAGAATCAATATTGTGAAAATGACCATACTGCCAAAAGCAATCTACAAATTCAACACAATCCCCATCAAAAAACCACCATCATTCTTCACAGAGAGAAAACAATTCTAAAATTCATATTGAACTGAAAAAGAGCCCACATAGCTAAAGCAAGACTAAGCAAAAAGAACAAATCCTGAGGCATCATATTACCAGACTTCAAACTATACTTTAAGGCCATAGTCACCAAAACAGCATGGTACTGGTATAATAATAGGCACACAGACCAATGCAACAGAATAGAGAACTCAGAAATAAACCCAAACACTTACAGCCAACTGATCTTCAAGAAAGCAAACAAAAACACAAAGTGGGGAAAGGACACCCTTTTCAACAAACAGTGCTGGGATAATTGGCTAGTCACATGTAGGAGAATGAAACTGCATCCTCATCTCTCACCTTACACAAAAATCAACTCAAGATGGATTAAAGACTTAAATCTAAGACCTGAAACTAAAAATTCTAGAAGATAACATTAGAAAAACCCTTCTAGACATTGGCTTAGGCAAGGATTTCATGACCGAGAACCCAAAAGAGAATGCAATAAAAACAAAGATAAATAGCTGGGACTTAATTAAACTAAAGAGCTTTTGCACAGCAAAAGGATCAGTCAGCAGAGTAAACAGACAACCCACAGAGTGGGAGAAAATCTTCACAATCTATACATCTGACAAAGGACTAATATCCACAATTTACAACGAACTCAAACAAATCAGTAAGAAAAAAACAATCCCATCAAAAATTGGGCTAAGGACATGACTGGACAATTCTCATAAGAAGATATACAAATGGCCAATGAACATATGAAAAAATGCTCAATATCACTAATGATCAGGGAAATGCAAATCAAAACCACCTTACTCCTGCAAGAATAATCAAAAAATCAAAAAAAAGTAGATGTTGGTGTGGATGTGGTGATCAGGTTACACTTCTACACTGCTGGTGAGAATGTAAACTGGCACAATCACTATGGAAAACAGTGTGGAGACTCCTTAAAGAACTAAAAGTAGAACTACCATCTGATCCAGCAGTCCCACTACTGGATATCTACCCAGAGGAAAAGAAGTCATTGTACGAAAAAGACACTTGCACAGGCATGCTTATAGCAGCACAATTTGCAATTGCAAAATCAAGGAACCAACCCAAATACCCATCAATCAACAAGTGGATAAAGAAACTGTGGAATATATATATATATATACACACACATGATGGAACACCGCTCGGTCATAAAAAGGAATGAATTAACGGCATTCACAGTGACTTGGATGAGATTGGAGACTATTATTCTAAGTGAAGTAACTCAGGAACGGAAAACCAAACATCATAGGCTCCCACTGATATGTGAGAGCTAAGCTATGAGGACGCAAAGGCATAAGAGTGATACAATGGATTTTGGGGACTTGGGGGGAAGGTTGGGATGGGGGTGAGGGATAAAAGACTACAAATGGGATGCAGTGTATACTGCTCAAGTGGTGGGTGCACCAAAATCTCACAAATCACAACTAAAGAAGTTATGCAACCAAACACCACCTGTACATCCATAACCTATGGAAAAATTTAAAAAATAAATTAATTAAAATAAAGGTGGGGAGGCAAAGGTTATAGGCAAAGTCATAAATTGATACATGGGACCTACATATTGGTCTGACCTAAAAAGGCAAGACATCTAGAAGCAGGGGGGCTGCAGGTTATAGGTGGATTTAAAGATTCTTTGATTTCTGATTGGTTAAGGAAGTGAAGCTTTATCTAAAAATTTGGGATCTGCAAAAAAGAATGTTAGTTCTGGCTCATGGGCATGACCTTCTCCAGGCCCCTGAGAAATGTACAATGGTCAGAGTTTAGTCTTGAGCTTCCGCTTATCTGAAGTCCACGTTCCAGCAGATCTGTTTGGTGTGGGGGGTCCAGGTTTTTGAGAAACAACTCAGAGACATATGTTCAGATTTTGTCTTTGGTTCTTACAGAAAAGAAGACATCTATTTTAACCTTTTTGGCTATTGTTTTAAGCTATTATTATGTTGTTGTTGTTGTTATTAAGTTGCTCGTTTGCTTTATTTTTTCCCCCGAGACGTAGTTTCATCCTTGTTGCTCAGGCTGGAGTGCAATGGCATGATCTCGGCTCACTGCAACCACCGCCTCCCTGGTTCAAGCCATTCTCCTACCTCAGCCTCCCAAATTGCTGGGATTATAGGCACCTGTCACCACACTAGGCTAATTTTTGTATTTTTAGTAGAGACAGGGTTTCAACATGTTGGCCAGTCTGGTCTCATGATCCGCCCACCTAGGTCTCCCAAAGTGCTGACATTACAGGCTTGAGCCACCTCACCTGCCTGCTTATTTGCTTTTTAAGGCTACTTAGGTAGGTGCCTGGAATTGTTTTAACGAACCCAAGATTTTTCTTTTTTTTTAATTTTTGTGCTTGAGAAGGGCCCACAGGCCCCTACAAGCAGTCCCTGCTCTATCTCAATTTGACTGGTTTCTTAAATCCAGAACTGCAGTGGAACTCCAGAGGACATATAACACCTTTATAACCTTGATTTGTAAAGAAAACATAGAACTAGAAGAATAGATCTGAGAAACAAACAAGGAGAGCTTTGTGATTGCCACAGCCTATGACCTTGAAAGAGTTTCCAGGCTGCAGGGCAGGGAGAGGTTGCACAGGCAGAGCCCAGCAGACTGCCTGAGTAGAGGAGACTGAGCTTCTGAGCTGAGCTTCTGGAGAGACAGGGCTGCCCAGAGTTCATAAGAGAAAGTTCCGGAGGGGAGCAAGCTGCACAGAGGGGATTGCGGAAGGTGCCATGAATAGTCAGCAAAGTACTAATGAGCAAGCGTTGAGGAAACTACCTATACATGGTCCACTTGAGGATGAACCTCAAAATAATTATGCTGAATTAAAGAAGACGGATTTTTTTTAAAAGTGCATAACTGTATACTCCCATTTATGCCATTTATATAAGATTTTAGAAAAAGCAACAAATCCATAGTGCTACAAAGCTGATCAGTGATTGAAGGGGGTGGGGGTTGGAGGGTGACAGGAAGGGAGGAGCATGAGGGAAAGACTGCACTTGAATACAAATACATTTTTGGGAGTGATAAATATGTTCATTATCTTGATTAAGGAGATATGGTTCACAGATTTTTACCTATGTCAAAACTTACTACATTGTATACTTTAAGTACATGTAGTTTGTCAGTTATACTCCAGTAAAGCACTTTTTTAAGACTGCATTTAAAAATAATATATGCTGAGCATTCCAAATCCAAAATCTGAAATGCTCCAAAACATGAAACAAGGAAATGCTCATTGGAGTAATTTGGATTTCAGATCTCCAGATTAGGGATGCTCAACTAGTATGTCTTCTCCAAATATTACAAAAAAAAAAAAAATCTGAAATTTGAAACAATTCTGGTCCCAAGCATTTTAGATAAGGGATACTCATCCTGTACAAATAAAAAACAGAGCTCGGGCGTGGTGGCTCATGCCTGTAATCCCAGTACTTTGGGAGGCTGGGGCTGGTGGATCACGAGGTGAGGAGTTTGAGACTGGCCTGACCAACATGTGAAACCCCGTCTCTACTTAAAAAAAAAAGAAAAAAATACAGGGTAGGCTGGGCATGGTGGCTCATGCCTGTAATCCCAGCACTTTGGAAGGCCAAGGTGGGTGGATCACCTGAGGTGTGGAGTTCAAGACCAGCCTGGCCAACATGGTGAAACCCCGTCTCTACTGAAAATACAAAAAAATTAGCTGGGCATGGTGGCACGTGCCTGTAGTCCCAGCTACTCGGGAGACTGAGGCCGGAGAATCGCTTGAACCCAGGAGGCGGAGGCTGCAGTGGGCCGAGATCGTGCCACTGTACGCCAGCCTGGGCAACAGAGCGAGACTCTGTCTCAAACAAAACAAAACAAAACAAAACACAGAGTAGCCTCCCTCGCAGGGTTGTTCTGAGAAAGTGAATGGAGGGGAGCAAGCCCAGATAACCTCTTTGCAACTCGTTCCCAGTTCAGACTATCTTTACCAAGATTCTTGATGTTCTAAGGTGTTTTTCAGTTTTATAGATGTGTTGCTAGGATCTATGTGGTCAATTAATGCTCTTGATATAACTTTATGCAATTTTGTATTTTAGGACTCATGAATCAAGCAAGCAAACGTGAAAAATGGATTAAGGCTGATGCCCCAAAAGGCACTGTAAGTTTTAGAAGGCAAAGCTGGTTTCAGTCCCTGAAACTGCAGGACTAAGACTGATTTGATTTGGATTTATGGTTTTTTTTTTTTTTTTTTTTTTTGAGACGGAGTCTCGCTCTGTGGCCCAGGCTGGAGTGCAGTGGCCGGATCTCAGCTCACTACAAGCTCCGCCTCCCGGATTTATGATTTTTAACAATGATTCGCAGATCTGTGACTACAAAAATGTAAATCCCACCGTTCATATAAAGGTTGAAAACAACAAATTGAGAATGAATACTGGTGAACTGTTTTGGGAGGCTTTTTCAAAATGTGTACTTTGCTATTGTTTTCATTTTCTACTGCTGTATAACAAATTACCACAAATTTAGCAGCATAAAATAATACTCATTTACAGCTCACAGTTGTGTAGGCCAAGAGCCCAGTATGTCTAGGTTCTCTGCTCAGGGAATCACATGGCTAGAATCAAGATTTTGGCCAGGCTGAGTTCTCATCTAGAGTCTCTGGGAAGAAATCTACTTCCAACTTCATTCAGATTATTGGGAAAATCCGGTTCCTTGTGACTGGATGACTGAGGTCTCCATTTTCTTGCTGGCTGTCAGCCAGCAATCACTCTAAGCTTCTAGAGGCCACCCACAGGCCTTCTCATGTTGCCCCTCCATCTTCAAGCCAGCAGTGATGCACTGAGTTCTTCTCATGCTTTGAATATCTGACTTCTTCTGCAACCAGCTGGAAGAATATATACTTTTAAAGGGCTCACTCGATTAGGTCAGGCCCACCCAGGATAACATTTGTTTTGCCATATAATGTAACATTCATAGGAGTGATGGCCCATCGCATTCAGTTTCCACTCCCACTCAAGGGAAGGAGATTATACAAAGGCATCCATCATGTGGGGGCAATTAGCTTAGAATTCTTTATAATGTAGCTCTCACATGACAGGTTTTCTACTTAGTACCTCTTATGGCATCAATGTAAATTTAAGCTGTAAATAAAAAACACGTATGTGAAGCAGTTGCTACTGATTGTTAATATCTTTTGTGTAATTTAAGATATAGCTCATTAGGAGGAAAGAAACAGCTATTTTATAGCTTGATGTATGAAGACAGATTTTTATAAAGGTATACTGTATAAAGATATTTTATGAATTTAATTTCTTTCAAACATCTCTATTCCTGGAATATTTAAATTACATAATACTGGCCAGGCACAGTGGCTCATGACTGTAATCCCAGCACTCTGGGAGGCCAAGGTGGATGGATCACTTGAGGTCAGGAGTTCGAGACCAGCCTGGCCAACATGGTGAAACCCCCATCTCTACTAGAAATACAAAAAAAAATTAGCTGGGTATGGTGGTTCATCCCTGTAATGCCAGCTATTCGGGAGGCGGAGGCAGGAGAATTGCTTGAACCTGGGAGGCAGAGGTTGCAGTGAGCCGAGATCACACCACTGCACTCCAGCCTGGGCAACAGAGTGAGACTCCGTCTCGATAAAATTAATTAAAATAAATAAATAAGTTATAAAATACTATAACTATAAGACCAGACCTATCTTTTGGTGATGTAGTTTGGATATCTGTCCCCCAAAATCTCATGATGAAATGTAATCCCCAGTGTTGGAGGTGGGGCCTGATTGGATCATGTGAGCAGATTTCTCACTGATTGTTACCACCACCTTCTTGGTTCTATCCTCATGATAGTGAGTTCTCACAAGATCTGACTGTTTAAAGGTGTGGGCATCTTCCCCCTCTCTTGCTTCTGCTCTTGCCATGTGATGTACCTGCTCCCACTTTGCCTTCTGCCATGAGGAAAAGCTCCCTAAGGCCTCCCCAGAAGCCAAGCAGGTGCCCATGCAATGCTTTCACAGCCTGCAGAATCAATTAAACCTTGTGAGCCAATTAAACCTCTTTTCTTTATAAATCACCCAGTCTCAGGTATTCCTTATAGCAAAACAAGAATGGCCTAAATCGCTTGGATTATATTTTTTATGATTAAGATGAGTCCATTTTTTTTTCTTTTTTGGGACAGGGTCTCGCTCTGCCACTCAGGCTGGAGTACAGTGGCACAATCTTGGCTCACTGCAACCTCTGCCTCTCAGATTCAAGCAATTCCCATGCCTCAGCCACCAGAGTAGCTAGCATTACAGGTGCACGCCACCATGCCCAGCTAATTTTTGTATTTTTACTAGAGATGGGTTTTACCATGTTGGTCAGGCTGGTCTTGAACTCCTGGCCTCATGTGATCTGCCTGCCTCGGCCTCCCAAAGTGCTGGGATTACAGGTGTGAGTCACTGCACTGGGCCAGGAGAAGTCCATTCTTAAACACTTAATTTTTAACAAACCTTTCCAAATATTATTTATGATTATCTTTTTCTTTTTTTCTGAGGTCTCACTCTGTTGCCCAGGCTGGAGTGCAGTGGCATGATCATAGCTCACTGAAGCCTTAAACTCCTGGCCTCAGGCATTCTCCTGCCTCAGCCTCCTGAGTTGCTGGAATTACAGACAGGCACCACCATGCCTGCTCTAATTTTTTAATTTTTTATAGAGGTGGGTCTTACAAATTCATCAGGTCTCGAACTCCTGGCCTCAAGTTGTCCTTCTGCCTTGGCCTCCCAAAGTGCTGCGATTATAGGCATGAACCACTGTGCCCAGCCTCCTTTTCATTAATATGCCATTTCTTTAGAGTTCTGTTTTTAACTTCTTTATTTATGAAACAAAAGTCAGCTTTGTAGGGTATCTCAAAGTCTCCTTTTAGTTCACCCTTCATGAAATGAGAATGTATACAAGTCTGAAAGATACTTACACATTGGTATATTTGGTATGGTTGGGGTGTGTTATACTATTAAGTAGAGGAAACTGTGTGGCAGTGAGGCAATTTTTATAATCTTTTTTCACCTTCATGCAATTACATAAACATTTTCATGACTAAAAATAAATTAGCCAATCACAGCCAGAAAAGTCATAAGCATAATAGCAGTCAACTATATTTAAACTATTAATGGAATTGTACATATTTGGATCACATTGTTAAGCCCCAGACAAAAAGAAAAAGCTGAAATATTTTACTCTCTTGGACACAGACCTATGAATATGAAATGTTTAAGGGCTAAAGACCTAACTAATATCTTTGATATTTTGAGTACTTTGCACTGAGAACTTAAAAGATTTCTCTACCTGTATACCTTACTTCTTGGTTCCTTTCATAGCTCACTTTTTCTACTCCTTTTTTTCATTTATGTAGCTGTAAAATTTGTCTCCCTGGAATGAATGAATGTGTCTTCTGTTCTTGTTTAAGAGAGGATGTTACTCAAAGAGCTTTGGAGCAAGCTCTGAATGTAAAGCAACCTGCTAGGTTTCTGGAGAATACGTAACAGGGTGTGTTTCTTACCGGGGTCTTCCCAGGGCAGGTGTCATTCCTTTAGAAAGCAATTGCCTCTTTTATAAGTTCCTCCAGTTGTGTGCATGGGCACTTAGGAATCAGATTTTTGAAAACATCTTTAATGCAGCTGCCAGAAATTTCCAAATTTAGGTTAAAACCGTACTCTTATGTCATCTTATGTCTCTTGGCTATGGTTCTAAAACTTCCCATTGAAATGATTCTGTTGCCTGTGTGCCCACTCCTAAGAACCTTTCCACAGCTAAGTAATATTACCTTATTTCAAAAACTTTGCAAATCAACCTCAGTGGGGGAGAATTACTAAAAGCATTTAGCTAATACAGGGTAACCTATAATAATACTTTGTACAATCTTTTTAAAACTTTTCAAAGTAACGATGCTTTAAGTTTTTAATCCTTGTTTGAAACTTGTGGAATACAAAAAGAGAACTCCACGTGAGAGATAAGTAATTGAGGAAATAGGTTAAAAGGCTGATCTGATATTGCTGACATAGCTTGTTTGCAGCAGTCAGAACAGAGTTGTGCTTTCTCTTGGACTGTGTCAACATCAGTGTTACATAATATCAAATAATGGTAAAAACCCACAGATGTGCTGGCTTCAGCAGCACATATACTAAAACCCACAGATTAAAGCTTATTAAAAACTAATATGTAGATATGCAATTAATAACCCATACTTCCTAGCATAAAATTGAGGGAGCATCTTTTTTGGCATAGCATAGTTTAAGAATTCCTCCATTGTGCAAATTTGATTAAAGAAATATCTTTCTGAGACATTGCAGGGACATTCTTTCTATTCAGATAGTTCTAGTTTCTATTTAATTTGCCCCTGACTAAGTCAAATGTTGAGATAAGTCCAGAGTTAATTGGTGGCATTTAGTTCTCTTTTGTTGTTAAATGTCTGGAAACCACAGGAAAGCCACATTTCCTTTGAAAATATTAATATATGTCTGTATTCTTTATAAAACTTTATAAAGCACCACAGATCCTTAAAGTTATGGCCCTGGCTCAAACTCTTAGTTTGACATATGGCCATCTCTGCTTTCTTTTTCCTTTCTAGAGAAAAATTTCTTAATTTCTTATAAAAAAAAAAATCTCATCTCTCAGGGTTGTTTCATATAACTTTACATTTTATATCTCATCAAAAAACTATTGGTTTGATTAAATTTAGGCAGAAATTTTATGTAGTCAGTACTTGATTTGGCTTCTTTTTTTTGTTTGTTTTTTGTTTTGTTTTTGAGACAGAGTCTTGCTCTTTCGCCCAGGCTGGAGTGTAGTGGCGTGATCTAGGCTCACTGCAACTTCCGCCTCTCAGGTTCAAGCGAGTCCTCTGCCTCAGCCACCCGAGTAGCTGGGATTACAGGCGCTCACCACCACAGCCAGCTAATTTTTGTAGTTTTAGTGGAGATGGAGTTTTACCATGTTGGCCAGGCTGGTCTCGAACTCCTGACCTTATGATCCACCTGCCTCGGCCTCCCAAAGTGCTAGGATTACAGGCATGAGCCACTGCTCCCGGCCTGGCTTCTTTTTTAAATCATGATTATTTAGACAGAAGAACTACTGATGTATTTGGAAATATTTGTAGTTGGAATAAGAATCAGAAGATGGTTTG